GCTCTGAGCACGGTTTTCAGGGTTGCGTTTATCCCCCGCTGGCAGCCCCTGAGTACCTGGCCAATGAATAAGATATAGGTCAATGTAGCCCAATCCCAAATGCTCCAGGCTCCTCAGGCAACCATCTCTGGCTTTGGACCCCTGATCTTTGGGACCCTAGTAATAAAAACATCTTCTCGTGAGAGGCCATGCTTGGGTAGCAGGCAACCTAATTGTGCTTCATTATGGTACACTGCCGCAGTGTCAAAGGCACGGTAACCAGCTGTCAAAGCCGCATCCACAGCATTATAAGAGTCCTCTTGACCCTGCAAACGGAAAGTGCCCAGCCCCAACAGAGGCATAAGTCCCAGTGTTGAGAAGTACAGATGGCTGAGGGTCAGTCATTTGGAGAGAAGGAGGAAGTCTTAATTTGGAGACTATGAGTGCATAAAGATGAAGTGATGAAGCATGTGCATTAAGAATGATATATTTAAAATGCACTGAGATTATAATGTTGGCGTAACAGAGACATAAACTCACCCTGCAGGTTTTTTGAAAATGAAAAGACAAACAGTCGACAGTGACTTCAACACGGTCAAGGTTCAATGATCTGTTCCACTTGAACAACAATACTCATTTATCTACGTTCTACCTGTAAGTTAACGTGTAGGAGATAAACTTTCTCAGACAGCCTTATCTTATGTCATTGCTCTACAAAACCCGCTCAACCTAACTTGATCATGTGACAAAAAAGGTGCGGAACATATTTCTGTGGTTGGAACTCTCGTCACCTAAACTTCTTATTCTATTAGGGAAATATCATATACATAAAGCAAAATGTATATCGACTGTACCAAATGGTAGACTATTTTCCACTGATCTGAAGATTTTTTACGACTCTCTAACTTCAATACAGAACAATCGAAAAGCTGTAAAGACGTCTAGGCTGCTGAAAAGGATACTTGATGTATTAGAAACATGATTGATATGTGATCTAAGATACAGAATTTTGGTATTATTGTTTTACAGATTTAAATGTCTTTGTATTCCCCTATTGTTATCTCAATAAAAAAATAAAAAAAAGTTTAAAAACAAAACTCTCGTCATCATAGCAGCGGTTTTGCGCCTCAATGGATGTTGCATTTGACCAATCAGAGTTTGTTTTCATGACCTGAGGGCGGGACCACTTGACAGACCCGCCCCAGTCTCTTCACTTTAGCCATTTTCAACGTTCTAATTCTAAAACATTTGGCGCGAAATACTTGAGTCGGTAACTTTTTATA